CCCCTATCGATGCTAAGCAACGGCTCGGTAAACACATTCCTGCGGCAACAAAGAATTGTTGGAGGCGTCGTCGTCCTTGCGATCGGTGCCATATTAAAGGAAAGCAGGCCATTAGTTCTTCCGGAACTTCTTATTTTGTTTCGATTTTTTCAAACGTCCGGGTGGGGAAGGATGGTCTCCCGTCCCTCTTGGTGCTAATGCGCACTCCCCATCCTGTTCATCCTCTTCTCTACCTGCTCTTACCCTTCCACCCCTCCTCTCCCTCCCAATCTCTCTCTTCATCTTCCTTTTCCACTTCCTCTTCCTCTTCGTCTCTTCTCGGCAAAACAATCATTGCTGAGCCAATGCCTTTCTTAAAAGATTCTGCCAGACTTGACAACAGGTAGTCAGCCTTGCGTCCAACGCCCATCCTAGAGGACCAAGTCCCTGTATTTATGTCTTACCAGTGACAGGGTGGCTCGTGCACATTAACCGCTGTGATAACAGATCATTTATTGTACTGAATTGCTTATTCATTACGTTGATGCAATCGGAGACAGCCTTCAAAACAAGCAGTAGGAGGAATTCATTTTATTGCACTTGTAAATGCAAATTTATGTTATTTATGTATGTATAGAGAAAGTTTATTCAGCACGCTGCAGTGTTACTGAATGTCCGTGTGCAAGAAGTGAACATTTAGACATGTTTTGAAACCGCATTAGCCAAATTACCACATATGAGCTGAATCAGACAGGCGTTTGGTTTTCATTCGCCGGAAAACAATGTTACGCCTGCGTATTCCATCAGTTCGGAACACTTGAACAACAGCCGCCATTGTCTCTCACAGATAAGGAAAATAAATGAGTTATGTTAGGTTGAGCGGCCTCCGTGGTCTAGAGGTAACGTTCTCACCTCATGACTCGTAGTACGCGGGTTCAAATACCCGGCGGAGGTCGTCGAATTTTTAAGGGCGGAAAAATTCAGGGAAGAAGTCCTCCGGGAGGGACTCTAAGCCGTGGGTCCCGTGTCGTAGCTTCACGGCACGTAAAAGAACCTCATCCCTCCAAAGGAGGTCACTGAGCAAAATTGCGGACGTTTGCCGCCCAACAGCAGTCACTAATACCTCCGGTAGATGGGGGAAGCATTATAGATACTTCTCAGCCAGTAGAGCCGGTCTCGCTGGCTCGGCGGGACTGATGGTAAGCACCAATACCGGTAGGATATAGAGACTGGTAGAAATCATAGAGGGAAGCACAATGGACCACTACAGGTCTAAGTGCATGGGGAAACCCACCCTCTCTAATAACTAACTATGCTAGGTTGAACTGGTTCCGGATAGACTCCTAAGGCTGGCCGTTTCGGTTATTTATCAATCCTAGATTTTATACACCATTACACGAAGATCTTAAAACTTCTTGCGTAGCTGAGTTGGTTACCAGTTAGCCGTCCGCTTGTTGGTCAGTAAATTCAGCAACATTTGTCATACAGTTTCTCAACTGATGGGACGCGTGCCACATGCGGAGCTTGACCGTCCGTTGTGGGACATGAAGACTTGAAAAAGAATTTGCCACCTAAAATTCTAAGGGAGTTGATATAGCGACGGGCTATGGGTTGGCTGGCGCGGGTTCGATTTCCGACAGTAAGATTTTTCACTTCCCCAAAGCGTCCAAACCGACTCTGGGGGCCACCCACCCTCCTGTCCAGTGGGTACCGGACGCTATTTCCCCGGGGCAAAGCGGCAGGGGCCGGAAGCTGTCCACTCACATCCACCCAGTGTCGAAGCCAAGAAAGGTGGAGCTATACCTCTTCCCCCATACGTCTTCTTGGCATAGTTCTTAACTGGTTAAGCACAGGGATATCGTCTTTTTACCTTATGCAAAATTCTCGTCGAAACATTCCTGCATTATAAGCACAAGATTCTCATAAATACCGCACAATTTTTGCTATGTTATTTTCCATAATACTAGTGTAATATTCGTTAAGAATTCAACCGGAATCTCTTTTATTTTATAAGCTTTCGTGTTGTTAACTTCTCTTTCTTTCTCCCACGTTCCTTTTCACTCTTGTACGTTATCGAATGATGCGTCGGGACACGTTCAACGCCATCACCAACAAATAACATACACAAATATTCAATCCTAACCCGCCTCTTTTATGTAATATGCTACACTTAATACAGAGTGTTTCAGAATTACTGTCGTGGTTGCCGTTCATAGGCCACGGAAACCCCGACAACAATTTAGAATCACTCGTATATCCACATCTAAATGCTGTCAGAACTCAGAATAGACATGATGCACTGAAACGACAGCTCGCTTGTTCGTGATCTAACGTGGAATGTGTTAACGCTCGACAGTTCGTTGCTTTTGTAAACCGGAATTGCGTAATTGTAGTAAATTTTATGCTTACAAAACTTGTTTGTGTTTAGAAAGGATATTATTAAAAAATAAAAATGTTTACAGTGTAATTTTACAGAATTATGTTATAAGTTCAGACTGTGATGTTCTGGTTTGTCAACATGTAGGCTAATACTGACGTTTCGGAGGAGTCTGTAGCTTCCAAATTGATGGTTGAAATATGGTTATGGTTTTTGACACCTTGTAGTCCTGTAAGCGGATGTCAGCGTTTGAGAGGAACGTGCTTCCCACCATATATACATCATACGATAATATCTTCTGTATTGATGAACCGCCTTCTTCAGAAATTTGATGTAGTTCAGTCTGTGGTTAGTGGGGGTTGGAGTCCAGCCAGGTCCACTCGGCAGGGCGGCCACTGATTGGCCTATTGTACCTGCCCCGGTGATTATGATGATGGAGAATTTGGTGGAATGAAGATTGGCAGGGGAAACCGAAGTACTCGGAGAAAACCCGCCC